AAATAACTCCAGATCACAAAGAACTCCTGAACCTCCAGTTCCGGCTCTGTTGCCATCTGGCAGGTCACCTCAGCCAGTCACCTAATCTTGTGCACCTGTCAGATAACCGTGAAAACAACTGAGCTTTCTAACTCTGTTATGAGGACTAAGCTCATTGGCTGCGTACAGGCCCTGGCACAATAAATGTTACTGATGTTGGTAAACTGACAAGATTTCAAATGATTCCTCTCCACCCCTCCACCAACTGGCTTTATTTTAATCTTTTATTTTCTATCTATCTATCCATCTATTTATTTATTTTGAGACAGTGTCTCACCATGTAGCTCAGGCTGGCCTTGAATTCCCAATCCTCCTGCCTCTACCTGTGGAATGTTGGGATTACAGGTGTGTGCTACCACACCTGGCTATTGTGATCTTTTTATCGATGAATAACAATTCAGAGAAGTGCACTTTGTGTAAGTGCTCAGGTCAATGACTTTTACACATTGAACACACCCATTTAACTAACACCTCAGCAAGTAGGAAATATCTTGGCATCCCTGGTATGCACCCTTAATTCACTTTTTATCACTGTCTTTTTAGGGGCGACTACTGTCCTGGCTTCTAAGAGCCTGGTTTTGAAACAGTTTTAGATCTCTGAAGCAACTAAGATGTGCTTAGTAAAGAGCATTTAGAAAATACTGAAAGAAAAAAATCAGAGATCCTATATTAACATGTATAGCCTTTAAAAACATGAATTTTTAATTGAGGACTACATAAAATTTCACAAGTCATCAGTGTAAAGCTCAATTAAATTTTGATCAAGTGACCACCCACATAACCATCAGATCAAAACGTAGAGCATCACAGACCCCTTTCATTTTCTCCCTACCCCGCCCCCCAGATCCTTTTTCCTGCCTCCTCCCAGGCAAGGACAATCATTATCCTGGCTTCCAAGGGCACTGGTCAGTTTAGTCACACATGGCCTTATATTTATTTAAGAAGGCTTCTCTTCTCTCGGAGAACTCTGGCTCACCCTTCAAGACTCAGTTCTGGCTGGAGTTGTAGCTCAGTGGCAGAGCACTTGCCTAGTGTGCACCCAGGTCCTGGGTTCCATCTCCAGCGCTGGCAAAATGAAAACAAAACAAACATGACCCAGTTCTGAGGTCCTGTCTGACCTCTGAGACGTTTTCTCTGCTCACTGAGCAGTGCCTCAGTTCATCCCTCCACCTCAGCAAATGCCTCTTTCTGCTGTCTCCTCCTTGAGGTTTCATTGGTCTGACCTATTAACCTAGAACAGCAAGTGATGTGCTGAGTTAGGACGTGAAAGATCTAAATCTTAAACCCTGTGTCTACGAATGTGACCTAACTGGAAAACAGGGTCTTGGCTATATTAACTTCAGGACACCAAGGTGAAGCCATCCTGGATTTAGAGTGGGCCCAGAATCTCAGAATTATTAGTCCAGGGTGGCCTAAAACTCACCAACATCCTGCCTCCATCTCTCAAATGCTGGGATTACAGATGTGTGCTACTAAGTCCAGCTAGACACACTGTCACTCTTGGTTTTAAACCATCTCTCTTGATTTTACACAGAGCTCCAGGCCTGGCCAAGGCTGTGTGGCTACCTGGTTTGTCACCATGGCAGGTCACCATGTTGTATACCCATTGACAGTGTCAGCTCTGGGGTCTCACCAACCCAGTAATGGCACCCACATCATGCCTAGCTGACTCACTCCCTGCTGCAGCTCTGTTTCCTAACAAAAAATGTGAAGCTTGTAGAGGTTGAAAACTCTGTTCAGGGCCACACAAAAGGTGAGTGGTGTAGCTGGGATTGACACCTGATGTCAGAGCCTCCTTCATATACCTCTTCAACTACATTGTGTGCTCACCAGCAGGACTGTGACGATTGCTACTATACCCCTGGAGCCCAGCCTTGCCTGACCTCTGTCATGTGCTCAGCAAATGCTTGTTGAATGGCTAAATGAGCCCTAGCAGGAACCTAGGCTTGAGAAGGTCAAAGAAGAAGCATGGAAACAGAGGTTTCCACCCTGCCACACACACACTGCAGGTCCAGCTGTTGGTTCTAGGTGGTACTTCCTCTCCCACAGGCCGCCGGCGGGCAGCTGAGGCTAGGCTTGTCCCCAGGGGCTGTGCACTTCTCTGAACAATGCTGGGACAGGAAGCCAGACTCTTGTGGGGTTTTCTGGTCTATGTTGGTGGCAGAAGGAGAAAGGGCAAGGTTGGTGAGGTCCCTGGGGCAGGGTGGTGGCCTTGGCCTGGCTGCTGCCTTCAGTAATGGGGAGAGGAGACGCAGGTTTGGGAGCCCCTCCCCCGTCAAAATCATGATTATTATGTTAAGCACCAGTGTCTTGCTGGTGTGCTCGCTCTGTCATCCAGCAGTTTCATGGAGACCTAATTCATGCATCATATGATTAGCTGTCAAGTGTGTGATTCCATGATTTTAGTATATTCACAGTGCTCTTCAGCCAACATCATGGTCAATTTTAGTGCATTTTCACCACTCCAAAGAGAGATCCTGAACCTCCTCCCCTCCCTTTCCAGCACCTCTGGACCCTAGTCATTGGCAACCACTAATCTACTTTCTGTCCCTGTAAATGCTGATTCTAAATATTTCCAAGAAAGGTCTATGATGGGAAAACAAAGAGGTTCATCGAGGGTTGTTTAGCAGCTCACAGTCACACAGCTTAGAAGGGGCAGATCAGGGACTTGAAGTTAGACTCCCTACTCTCTAAGTCCATAGTTGAGGTGGGTTTTTCCCCTTCTTTTCAGTAACAATCCTAAAAAAAACCCCATCTCTGTGGTGGGTAGTTTACCTCCACTAGCTTGTTTAGTCCTTCCAATCTTCCTTGGATGGAGGTGCAGTTATTACAGCCATTTTGCCAAGAAGGAATCTGGGACACAGAGAGGATGACAGTCCAATGCACTGTGACAACTAGCAAACAGCAGAGGAACAGTTTGGGGAAAGTGTGTGCATATCTGAGGATAGGAATGCAAGGTAAAGAGCTGAGAGAATGTGCATAAGATATTTTTTTCCTTCAGGTTATTTTCCCTGTCCCCTTTCTTCTTTCATTTTATAGGAAAAGGAAAAGAAAGTTCCCTCCACCCTCTGAGGTCACTTCCTGACCCATTTGTGAGTCTAGGTGGAGCAGTTCCAAACTCATTCTTCCTGCCTGAAAACCTCCTGTTAATGGTGGGGATGAGTGATGGGTTTGGTGTCCATGGGTTCTGGCACCAAACAGAACTGAGTTCAAATCCTACCTCCACCACCTACTAACTTAACCCTTGCACATCCCAGAACAGCTGGCCTGTGGCAGGGCCTTCCTGCTTACATGAATGGAGATGTAGTGGTTTTTACCCCTGTCCTTCATTCCTAAAAAAGAGGTGTCATTTTATATTTGCATCCTCCCAGAACTGTGCCTACCACCACAATTATTTTTAACAACCAAGTGAAAGTTCAAGGAAAGAAGAGGAGCCCTAAACACTCCTGTTCACTGCTCTGGATTTCTTTAGCTGTTCATATGGAAGGGGGTGTCAGTAAAAAATGGGGTAAAGAAGGAAAGGAATTAGGGCTGGGGAAGTGGTTCAAGTGGTGGAGTGTCTCCCTGGCAAGACTGAGTTCAAATCCCAGTACCACCCCACCCCTAGCAAACTGTCATCACCTCATACACAATAGCCATTTTAATTTCAAAAAATGGAAGAGACTTGCAATCAGAGATGACACAGAGTTCTTGAAGCTGAAGCAGGTTCTGTTTCGCATCCTTTTCTTGCTGGGTTCCCATGGCCCAGAGAAAATTTCAGTCAGAATCAGCATCTCCTGGGACAGGTTATCAGGAACCAGGAGGGTCTTGCAGTGGTCTCCAGCCTCCAATTTTGCTCAGTCTCATTTTTGTCCACAAGAGGCTGACCACCTTCCTAAAATACACATGTAGGTTTTCTAACAATAAATTATAAATGCATGCGGCTGAACTAATATACTGTATAACACGTATCAAAAGAGAAGGGCTAAAGGGGGCGGTTGAAATAAATGCAAGTTGAAGTTAAAAAAAAATAACAAATGTTACCTAGATTTATTATTTCTAGGGAACTGGGTCCACGATTTCAAGTGGCTCACAGCCTGCAACAAGCCTTTGTAACCTCTTAAAAGAGTTTACAGCCGGGTGCTGTGGCTCATGCCTATAATCCTAGCTACTCAGGAGGCAGAGATCAGGAAGATCATGGCTGGAAGCCATCCAGGTGAAATAGTTCCTGAGACCCTATCTCGAAAAAACCTTCGCAGAAAAGGGCTGGTGGAGTGGCTCAAGGTGCAGGCCCTGAGTTCAAACCCCAGTATAGAAAAAAAAAAAAGAGTTTACAAAGATGTGGTGACCAGTACACACGAGACACTTGAGTATCATGCTACATTTACGGTGAGAGTGACATTCCTACATTCAAAAATGCTGTCACTGGAGCAACTTAAAAATGAAATTTAAGTGCTGACAGCTCTGCAGGTGACTCTAAGGCTGGCTCTAGTTACAAGGAGGATTTGAATAAAGTTGATTCACAAACTCCAGAATGGGAAAATACAAAATTTCCTAAAGAACACGTCACTCTTTTCATATACAAGGACATCAATTGCCTGGTGTTCTTTGTCCCTTACTACTACCTTTAGATCACATTTTGCTGAAAGAGAATCCGAGACTGGGGGGTATGACTTCAAAAGAAGGCCACCATCAGGCAACTCCAGGTGGGCGATTGTGAGGCATATATTAAATGCACGATGACACGTGTATGTTGTAGGCGCCGCACAAATGCTTGCTTGTTGGCGGATGCTCTCCACCTGGCTACGGGACCCCGCGCGTGGCGGGGTAGGAGGGTAGGCATCCCTGGGGTGCCTCAGTTTCTCCCGCGGCGGGCAGAGCCAGGCTCCCGGGCGGCTCTCGGGGAGGGACACGCAGGGAGGGGGCGGCCCCAGGCGTCACGTGGCGCGGCCGCGGCCGAAGCAGAAGTAGCGACCGGGCGGCGGAGGGCGTGCGCTGCCGGAGTGCGGGTGCCGGGAGGCGGTGGCCGCGCGAGGGACCCCGGATCCCCGACCCGGGCGGGTGGCTGCGCCCGGGCGGCACGGCCAGGTGAGTTGGCCCGGAGCGGCAGGAGCGCAGGCGGGGTGCCCGGGGACCTGCGCCCAGGAGGGACCCGGTGAGCCGCGTCGGGTCTGGGGGACCTGGCGCCCGAGCGCAGCGGCGCTGGCAGGGGTAGGGCGCGCCGCCGGGGCTCCGCGCCGCCTGTGTCCCCGGCCCGGGTGGGGACGGCGCGGTCCGGGCCCAGCCGCCTGCCACTTCCTCACCCCGGCCGGCGCCACCTCGCCGGGGTGGCAGTGGGCGGCCGGAGTTTGAATGGGAGCCGGGGGGAGCGGCGCGGCTTCGGGTGGGGGGTCCCGCGAGTGGTGGCGGTCAAGGTCCCTCTGGCCAGGCGGTCCTGTGTGGGTGGCGCGCGCCGGCTCTGGGGACCGCACTTCCCCGTGTGCACAGGTGGTTGCGGGGTGGGGGTGGGGCAGCGATGCCGGGGAAGGCGCAGCGGGTCCCCAGGGGCATTTGGAGACTTGCCCGGGAATCGCTGTCCTCCTCACCCAGGGTGGTGCGTCCCCCGCCCCCCTTCCTGTCTGGGAATCCCAACGAGGTCATTGTCCCCCGGGAGGAAGAATTCGAGGGAAAGCCGGCTCCTGCTTGGACCCCGGAGTTGCTGCTCGGATTCCCAGGGAGCCTGGGCCGGCCCTTTCAGCACCCTGATCTTGAACTAGAACGAGAGGCTGCTGGGGTGACATGGCGCAAGAGAAACAGGTGGCTTCGGCAGTGAGAACTTCATTCGAATTGCCCTGCATCTGTGTGACCCAGGGCACGGTGAAGAACCCTCTGAGGCCCGGAACCAAACCAACTTTCCTGGGCTGCGCCGAGAACTCGGGCCTTCGCAGGGAAACCGCCCGCAGTTCTTGTCCGTCTGGTTAACGGCCCTTCCCGGGCGCACAGGCCTAGTTTCAGTTTTGGGGTCCATGCCGCCCTCAAGCACTTAGGCTGTTGCACAGTTGTGTGCTACCGCGTAGCTGCTGCAGGGGACACTCCTTACTGGCCTCATGGCGCTCAAAGTGCCCAGTCTCCTGTCGCCTCCTCCACTATCTCCCTCACCATGCAAGGTGCGCACGTGGGGCCCCTCGGAGGAGGCAAAAACAGGACCCCACGAATAGCCACTTTGTACTCCCTGGGTGGAGTCTGGGAAATTACTGGTGACAAAACTTGTGGAAACACTTCTTACTTTAGAAAACAGTAAAAACACACAAAAAAGAGGTTTTTCTATAGGCCATCTCCTCATCACCATAGAGTGCTCCTCTCTGCCTCCCGGCCTCCTCTCTCTCCACTCTCCTGGATTTGTTAAGTAGACCCCTGTTAGGAAAATGTAATTCCAGTACAACTTACTGCTTTGCAGTATTTTTCTTCCGATAGCTTTAATTATCTAGATCTAATTCCCACATCAAATAGCTCGATATAGTTCTCATTCTTTCCAATAATTCCTGACCATTCTTTGCGTATTTGTTATTTGTATTACATATGTACATATGTTATTTGTACATAGCTATGTAGCCTAGCTACATACTTGCTGTGTGGCCAAGGCTGGCCTCAAACTCTGATCTTCCTGCCTCCACCTCATTAGTGCTCGGAATACAGATGTGCACAACCACACCTGGCTTATTTTTATTTTTGGGACAGCATCTTGCTCTGTAGCCTAGGCTGGCCTTGAAGTTGTGAACCTCTTGCCTCCTCTCATAGTGCTGGAATTACAGGCATTGGTCACCACACCTGGTCCAAGCATTCTTTAATGTGCTTGCTTCATTATTTATTTAAGGGGCCCTCCCCCAAGTGACAAATAGTTATTTCCTGGTTTTGTTTGTCTTATTTCTTATTTATTTATTTACAAATAGTGCTTCCATGAATATCCTGTGTGTATTTCTTTCTGCACTTGGGTGCTTGCTGGATCAAAGCTTATACATGTTCTACATTTCAGAAGACGCCCACAGGTTGGTCTTAAAAAACAACATTGAACCACTTTACACTCTCACCTGAAGCGGGATGCTGCTGGGGTTCTGGGATGGAAGCATGCATCCCCTTAGTGGTGCAGGCGGGGTGTGTGATGAGCAGCAGTGAGGTGTTCAAGGGCTCAGCTGTGCCGGCTTTTAACAGAGTTGTTCCACGGGACTTTAGATGCAATCTTGTACTGCCCTACATGTGCCCAGAGCACACAGAAGAAGAAATCTTCCCTGTGTCCTGGTTTGGTGTTCTTGTATATCAGAAACTTGACTTCAAAGTGAAAAATGTAAAGTGTAAAAATGATAAAAACCTCTTAATTTATCTCAGCTTTATTTATATTTACACTATAAGTCATTTTATAAGATGGAAACCAAAAAAACTCTTTCTTTCTTTCTTTTTAAAGAAAAAGCAGAAACAAAGTGGAAATTGCAGAGAAGGCTAGTGCCCTTCTCTGGGGTCAAGGCCTCATTTGGAGACCTTCTGTCCTGAGTGTTAAAACTTTGAAGTCTGGAAGCCAGTTCTAGAAACTGGATTTTGGTTGTTGACTCCAAAAGGCTCTTGGCCACAAGGACCTCCTTCCAGTTGGTGAGAGGCAGTGTGAGATAGTTGGGGTTGATGCTTGAATTGGCCCTCTGGCTCCTGAGTGAGAAGTATGTGGAATCCTGGGGAGTGCCATACAAGACTTTCTTAGAGCTGGGATTGGAAGGAGCTGAGGACCCTAGTGCCTTGCCCTGGTTTTTGTTTAATTCAAGGTGTTGGGATGGGGGTTATGTTTCCTGCTTTTGTTCTGCTTGATGCTGTTCTTGGGTCCTGGTAGTGGGAAGTCAAGAGGTGCCTGGCTGGAGAGGTCAGCATAGTGCAGAGCTTTGGAATTGGGATGAGGTTCAAATTCTGTTTCTGGGCTGGTGGAGTGGCTCAAGTGGTATAGTACCTGCCTAGCAAGCATGAGGCCCTGAGTTCAAACTCCAGTACCACCCAAAAAAGCCTCCCAAATCCTGATTCTACCATGTGCTAGTGGTGTGACCTCAGACCTCTCTTGAGAGGGACAAGGCCTGCCAGTTTAGTTAATCTCTGGCCAAATTCTGCCACAATTGTGGAAGTCTGAATTCCAGAGAGCAGGTGCTGAAGAATTGGATCTTGGGACTTAGATGGGGTCTCCATCCTTGTAAACTCCCATTGGTTTGGCAGGACCTTGATCAAGTAATTTCCCCTCTTTGGACTTTCATTTTCCCCTCAGGCATTGCTCATTGAGGTAAATGCGATGAACAGGTGTGGCACTTGGGGAGGACCCTATTAACAGTCACTTTCCAAGGCTGAGTTGGGCCATGGGGCACCTTGTTCATTCCTTTTTTCCTGGGTGATGAGCTGAGAAATCATTTTAGTCTCTCTCCCTTTGATACCCAGCAGAGTTCCTGGTGCACTGAGCTCATCCTGCCTCCTGACTTTTGCTGGTTCTTCTGATTGGAACACTGCTCCCTTCTGCCTTATCTCCTTTAAAACCTGGGTTTTGATACCTTCTCCTAGAAGCTTTCTCTGAGCCCCTAGTCACACCCCAGACTAAATGGGGGTCCTTCTCATCACTCCCTGACCCTCCCATGTCTCTTGCTGCACTTGATTCTAAATTAGGATTGTCACTTATACTTCCAAATGGGCAGAGAGCAGGTGCAATTAATTTTATCTTCCACTGCCAGCACACCTGTGGAAGTGCCTGTGGTTGTACTGAGGGAGGAAGGGGCAAAGGGCAAAGCCTGGGCCTCACCCTGCTCCCCCTCATTTGCATCCTAGTCCACAGCTCAGGTCCTTGCATAGGGTTGACTTGATCAATGTGTGTGCTAATGAATGTTTAATTGAGGCCCTACTAAGTGCGGCTGGTTGTATATACATTGCAGCTCTTAGTTCTTCCAGCCACCACTTAAGGGCAATTTGTCCCCATTTTATAAGGAGGGGCCCAGATTTTGAGCAGGCTGGAGGCCCAGAAAGTCCTGGCCTACTGCCTGCTTCTCACTTCCTGGTCTTTGGACTGGGAGAGCTTTCTAGTGCTACTTTGTAACCTTGGAGGATTCAGAGTAACAATGTGGGGGCCTAAAGGGCTTTGAAGGGAAGACAGGCGATAGGAAGAATACACAGAACAATTGATGGTAACAGTTACAATCACTAAAGCTAAGGAGTGCTGTCCTTGCAACATTGTTTTAAGGGCCTGAGATCTATTATCTTGTTTAGTCCTTCCAGAAACTTTAGGTGCTAGACAATGTTTCCTTCTTTTCCATAGTGAAAATGAGGCCCAGAGTGTTTAAGGGGACTTGTAGTGACTAGGGCCAGCTAGCTAGGCAGGCTGTGGTGCAGCTCCAGGAATACTTAAGTCTTCCGACATTTGGGAGGCAGACAGAGGAGAGGGGAAGAGGAGAAGAGGTAGCTTCTGAAGGGCTTTGAGCAGAGGATCAATGTAATTTGACTCACATTCCAAAATCCTTCTGATTAATGGATTGAGAGCCATAGGGAGCCAGGGCAGAAGTAGGGAGACACTGAGCAGGTAACTAGAATAATCCAAGTCTGAGACCCTCGGAGCAGCCAGTGAGGGAGTGATGGACTGGATTCTGGATGAGTATGAGAAAGTTCAGGCAAGGGTTTCTCCAGGACTCGGGGCCTGAACACTTCTCTGTTAAGTTTTGAGCTTACATGCCCAAGAGTGAGCCTTGACCAAGGAAACCTGCTGGATGCTGGCACCCCTGCTGTGGCTTCTTCTTCAGGGTCTCAAACTGCTCAAACTCTCCAGTTTAGAAGGGATAGAACTGAGACATGACTTGGTCAAGCAGCCAGGCTAGGGCCACAGGCAGCAAGGGTCTACACCCGGATTTTGACCTCGAGGCTATCGGACCTTGACATTTTTCTGTCCTTTTGGGCTCATTTCCCCTTGGAGGAATCAGTTGCTCAAGTCTCTACAGACGCATTCTAAAGTTTCTTTTTTGGTTTTGTTTTTCTGTTCCTAATTTTGCTTAGGAAGTAATGGGATGATTGGAAATCTCCCAGCAGGATAGAAGAAGATACTGGGGTGGGGGCCACCTGGGCTGCTTTGGCTACTCAAATACCGTGCAGTGAGAGAGGGGGCCACCTTGGCCAAGCTATGGTGATTTGATTATTCAAAGCTGCTGTAACGGTTGGGTCATGGAGGTCAGGTCAGGGGTTCTTCCCACACCTGCACTTCCATTTAGACCTCTGCCTGCTGCCTGGGCTTCTGAGTGGCCAGTGACTCCCTGCCACTAGAACCTTCTCATCCTGATGGGCACAGGACAGAATTTTGGCTCCTGATAGTAAAGCCCTGGTAACTAACCCCACCTCAGTTGATTAAAATCAATTGACTCCTTTATTCTATTCTTCCAGCGTCCTTATTTCTCCTGACTTCTTCCTTCTCCCTGGAGTAGCCGCAATGAGCACCAAGGCCAATGTAGATGTGCTTCCGGAATATGAGAAGAGTCAGATCAAGAGAGCTCTGGAGCTGGGGACAGTGATGACTGTGTTCAGCTCCCGCAAGTCCACCCCCGAGCGGCGTACTGTCCAGGTGATCATGGAGACTCGGCAGGTGGCCTGGAGCAAGACTGCAGACAAGATCGAGGGCTTCTGTGAGTACCTGCTGGAGCTGGCATTGTGGCCCAGCTGCCTTGGCACCTTTGTACCATCCTGCCTTTGGTTGTTAAAATTGTTTCAATGCATGTTGGTTTGACACATCAGCCTTCTAAAAATGAAAGTGTTTTCACTTTGTGTGGACCTCTGATGGGGATGAGAGCAGGTAGAGGAAGTTCATCCAGGAAAAGTCTTGTGAAATGATAAAAACCCAAGTTGGCCAATTTGGAAATGACATTCAGATAGCATTGGGTCATCTGGCTCTCATGGCTGGTCAGACAGTCCTTTCAAGAGCTCACTGGTTTGAACTTGCAGAAACCCAGCTTGGTAGCCAAATGCCCGTGCGTTTTAGTGCAAACGACAGCAGACAGCAGCGGGAGGCCATGGGTCTTGTGTCCAAGTGCAGAGAGCACAGGCTCTGCAGCTTTCAAATAGGGCCCTGGTCCTGCCCACAATGCCTGCCCTCCCCGTCCCTTCACAGTCACCTACCGGCTCAGTTCCTGGCGTTTCTAAGACTAATTAGAGTAAGAGCACTTAAGCAATTCTCAGTTGCAGAGACTTGCTTTAATTTTGTTCTTTATTAACTGGTTTATAATTGAAAAAATAACATATTCTTTGAACCCCCGCACTTGGGAGACAGAAGCAGGGTCTTGAGTTTGAGGCCTGCCTGGGCTGCCTCAAAAAAAAAAAAAAGTCATATAACAACAACTAACACTCTTGGGCGTTAGGGAGTCAAATAACTCATAAATAAGTGTCTTCCTCCTGAACCCCTCATCCATGCCCCAGAGGCAAGCTCGAAACCAATTTCTTTTGTCTTCCAGAAATATCCTATGCTTGTGTCATGTATGTATATTTTTTACACAAACACACACACACAACTGGGAGCTACCACATAACCCTCTGCACCTCAGTTTCTTTTTTCATTTAATAGTTATCTTGTGGTGGTTCCTTATCGGCACGTATTGACCTCACCACGTATTGACCTGCTTCACGGCCACACAGCATTCTGGCATCTGGCTGAAATGTAACAGTTTAACTCAGAGATGGACATTCTGTGCTGTTTCTGGCCATTTGTGACCAGCTGCAGTAATTAATTATCCATCGTATTCTTTAAAAAAAGTAACGGTTTCATTGAGCTATATTGGCCTACCATATATATACTTCACCCACTTGAAGAGGGCAATGCATGTGTTAGTATATTCACAGATATATGCAGGTACCTCCATAATCAATTCTGGAACATTTTTGTCACTTCGGGAAGAAACTCTATACCTGTTAGCCACCCCTCAGTCCTAAGCAACTATCAGTCTACTTTCTGTTTCTATAAATTTTCCTGATGTGGACATGTCATATAAATGGAATTCTAAGATGTATGACCTTTTTTGATCTGGCTTCTTTCACTCAGCTTCGTGTTCTCAAGGTTTGTTAACTTTTTATCACATTCAAGAAATTCATTCCTTATTCCTCCTATATAATATTCCACCACGGGATGGTTCCACAGCTTTTTCATCCATTCACCTGTTGTGGACGTTTGGGTTGTTTCTAGCATTGGGTTGATAGGAGTAGTGTTGCCGTGAGCATTTGTGTACAGGTTTTTGCATGGATGTTTGTTTCTGTTTCTTTTTGGTATATGTGAGGAGCAAAATTGCTGGGTCATATGTTAACTCTGTTTAATCATCTTAGGAACTCCAAGACTTTTGCAAAGTGGCTGCACTGTTTACCTTCCTGCCACCAGTGTGGGGTTATCCTTGCATTATTCTTTTATGTCCATATAAGTGTATTTGAGGGACAACTTCCTAGGAAACTTATTTCTGAGTTCAGGGGTACAGCATATTTCAACTCCATGATTGTTTTTATTTGTTTTTGAGGCAGTGTCTCACTGTGTAGGCCAGGCTGGCCTCCAGCTGATGACTCCTACCTGAACCTCCCCAGTGCTGGATTTGCAGTCGTGTGCTTCCACACCCGGCTCTTGGCATAGTTCTTGATCTGATTTCAGAGGGAGATTGAACAGCTTTCCAAACGGTTTCTCCTGGCTTCAGAACCAGCAGGTCTCAGATGACACTGAACTGGAACCCCTGCTTTCAAATGTGCCCATATGTGGAGGCCACCAGCTTTTCTCCAGTGTGGTTTGCCTTGGTCATGCTTCAACTCCCAGGTAGCCCAAACACTTGCAGCTGGAGTGAGGCCTGGGGATAGGGCCTGCAGGTGTCCACTGATGGTGGACAGGTGTGCCACAGCAAGAGTGGACAATAGGTTTCTGTCTCTATTTTTTTTTAAAAATCACATATTTTGGCTTTCTTTTTCTCTGTGCTGGGGATTGAACCCAGGGTCTCGTGCATGCTAGGCAATCACTCTACCACTGAACTACATCCCCAGCCCTTCCTTCCTCTTTTTGAACTGCAAGTCCCAAGCCTGGCTGACCATCACAAATACCTGATCCCTGGGGGATAGTTTTTAAAAATACAGGTTAGGCTTAGTGTAGTGGTACACACCTGTAGTCCCAGTGCTCAAGAGGATGAGGCAGGAGGATTGAAAGGTTCAGGCTAGCCTGGGCTACATAGTGAGACTCTGTCTAAACAAACACACACAAACAAAACCAGAGGTTACTGGACCCATCTTCTGGAGCCGATGGGTCTGATAGGATTTTGTCTTGAAATCTATACCCTCTAGTTCTCTACCTCATGCAAGTAAATCAGTTCTTTTATTCCACTTGTGGAGCCCCCTTGCTCCCTTTCTTGTTCATTCTCCCTGGAGTGGTCTAGACTGAGGATGCTTCACTACTGAGGCTGGGAGGTGGCTTTAGCCACTAGCCTGGTTTCACACATACCATTCTGGAGTGCTCCCTTCCCCCCCCCGCCCCCCCGCCCCTTTCCTTTCTCCTTCGTGCTCTCCTACCCCTCTTCCTGCCCCATTTGAATGCCAACACTCTTGCAGTTGCTGGAGATCCAGCAGTAGTTAAATTAGATTCAAATCATCTTAGGGACTTCATTGTTTTATTAGGTACAAGAGGGTGGCACTTTGCTTTGTGACCTTGGGCAGGTGACTTTCTTCCCTGAGCTTCTATTCCCTTCTGTAGGTGGGAACAACATTGATGTCCACCCACAGGACTCCAGCTGGGAATAAGCAATGAATGAAGCCATCAGAGGGTTTCAGTGTGGCCCAAAGCATTTGAAGAATGTCAGTTGATGGAAGCAGCTCCTATTCCAGTTTCTGGGGCTGCTTGTAGCTGCAGGTGGAATGCTGCTTACTGAGGTAGTTGAGGACTGGTGTTGGCATCTGGGCTTTTTCTGGTGGACAGAAGGGACCATCGGCACTTTGAGTGAGCAGGCCTTCAAGCCCTTGTGGGGATGGTCGAAGGAGTTTTTGCAGCCTCCTGCTGTAAAAGAGGTTTTTATTGAAGAAACTCACTGGTCACTCTGGGTTTTCAGGGGTTGGCCACATATGAGGGGAGTATAGTTTTGGGGTACTTGCCAAGTGGTGTGTGGCTTTTGGGCAGGTACCAAAGCCCCTGTGTAGGCCTTGGTGAGATCTTGGGCCCCACTTTTAAGGCAGTGATTGGTTCACAGCCATGGTGATTTGATTTTGTCAACCAGGGAGGCATTTGGCAATGCATGTATGTTTGTCACACTGGGGCAAGGTGCTATTGGAATCCAGTGTGTAGATGGCAGGGTGCTGTAGCATGTCCAGCAGTGCACAGGACAGTCTCCACCACAAAGACTTATCTGGTACAAAATGGCAGTGGTAGCCAGGTGTGGTGGTGCACCCTAGTCATCCTAGCTTTTTTGGTGGTGGGGGCAGGAGGATTGAGCGTGCCAGGTCAGTCTGGGCAAAGTTAGTGAGATCCTGTCTCAAAAACAAAAATGGTTGGGCTGGGCATGGCTCAAGTGGTTGCGTGCTTGCCTAGAATGTGCAAGGCCCTGGTTCACTTAATCCCCAGTAACACTCACTCGTGTACACACCACACCACACCACACCACACCACACACCACACCACACCACACCACACCACACCACACCAAAATGGCAGTGCTGAGTGAGAAACTGCTCTGAAGTCACTTGTTTTGCTTAGAGCTGTGGAATGTCACTGGTACAATAGGGGCAGAGTCTAACTGCTCACCTCATGGCCAGAGAGTGGAAAAGGAGGGGATGGGGCTCCACTGTCCCTTTCAAGGACACACCCCCAATGACCTGAAGACCTCATAGCAGGCCCGCCTTTCAAAGTGTCCACCATCTCCCAATAGCACATGGACTGGGGAAACAAGCTTTTGCCATGGACTTTCAGGGCACATTCTGGATAAACTGTAGCACCAGAGGCTTGGGCAAGATGGTGCTGGATTGCTTCCCCTCTAGCCCTCTGCAGAGAGAATCAGTGACTGTGGCCTCCTTGACATTGAGCTGGGGGTCTCTTGATGTAGGAGGGATGTGTAGGTTTACTTCCCTACCAGGGATGTCAGGTGAGCAGTCTCTAGGTAGAAGAGGGCCCCAGGTCTGGGCTTTTCTGAGTTGAGCATGGGTGTTACCTTAGGTCACACCTGTTTTGGGAGCAGGGAGTGTCTTGAGAGCCAGCAGGGTATCACCTGGTTGTGGGTCTGGATAGGCTTTTATCAGGAAGTTTTCACCTCTGTGTAGGCATATGTTCTTGTCTGTTGATTTTTGGCAAATCGTGGCTGGTCATGAATGAGAGACCATCACACATAGGCGCTGTCTCACCCCTTGGTATCAGATACTTGCCTGCCAGATGTATCAATAGTGGTTGTAATAATATTGATGAGAGCCCGGCTGATGAGCCCTCACTGTGTGCTGGTTCCTGTGCAAGCCCATCACACACATCAGCTCATTTGGTCTCCCTGGTGATCCTGTGATGAAGGAATTACCCTCACTTTACTGATGATGAGAATGAGGCCTAGGGGGACCACGCGATATGCCCCAGGCCAGGAAAGGGCAGGACTACAGTTTGAACTCATCCATCTGTCTGTCCCAAATCTTCCTGCTCTACACT